AGCGATACGTTCAAAACACACATCAGTTATGAGGGATGTGGTTGAAGTCGGTTTCGTTCGTATTGGTAGTGTGGTTACCCTGTCGTTCCTGAGAACCCGAGGTTCAGGGTCGGGTGTGGCGGTCGGAGACGGAAACTTTCGCTTGGGGGTGGTGCAGGATGGGTGACGAGGATGACCACAGGTTGGCTCTCTGAAGCTTACGAAAGCATGCGTTGGGCCGGCAATTTTTGGTTGGATAGGTGGCCAACCAATCGATACCCTAATCGATACCCAATCGATACCCTAATCGATACCCACCAGGTCGTTTTGTGACCAGTTGCCCATTCAGATGCAATTTGTGTTTACATAGAGTAAAGGGCAGGTAAAGGCAGTAAAGTAAAGAGCAGTAAAGGAAACAGGTAAAGGGCAGTGAGGGCGGGCAAAGGGCAGTGAAGGGCAGGTAAAGGGCAGGTAAAGGGAAGTAACGGGAAGTAAAAGGCAGTAACGAGCAGTAAGAGGCAGTACAGGACAGTAAAGGGCACTAAAGGACAAGTAAAGGGCAGGTAAGGCAGCTAGAGGAAGTAAACAGCAGTAAAGGACAGTAAAGGGCAGCAAAGGACACGTAAAGAGCAGTAAAAGGCAGTAAGCAGCAGTAAAAGGCAGCAAAGGGCCGTAAAAGGCAGTAGAGGGCAGTGAAAGGCAGTAAAGCGCAGGTAAAGGGCAGCAATAGGAAGTAAAGAGCAGTACAGGGCAGCAAGGGGCAGTAAAGGGCAGGGCAAGCTACGAGCAGGATCAGTGAGCCTGATGGTCCTCATATTTTCACAAAACCAAAGCGATACCTCACAGAAACATGTGACGAAATCCTTGTAAAGCGATAGGACCCCCCCAAATCATCCAGGGTCTAGCCATGAACAAGAAGTCTTGACAAACGCTCATATGGGGCTTCAAGCTGACCCTACGTTCAATACGAAGTATTGAATCCTCAAGCAGCAACTTTGTGTTGAAAATGTGAAGCTTCAGGACCCCAATCCCAAAAACTCCCCAGAGACTCCAATATCCCTTAATTAAGGAATATCCCTTAAATTATAGTAGGATCCTTAATGTGATTTAAGGTATATTCCTTAATTAAGGGATATTGGAGTCTCTGGGTCTAGAGCCCTGAACCCTAAAACCCTAATTAAACCCTAAACCCTACACCCTAAACCCTAAACCCTAAAACTGTGAAGTCTGCAAGCAGAGTGGTTGAGGCGTCCGGGCCACCAGCCGACGGCACCGCTGATGCCACATGGAACTGGGCCGGGCTCAGAGCATGCCGCTCGGTCCTAGGGTTTAGGGTTTAGGGTTTAGGGGTTTAGGGTTTAGGGTTTAGGGTTTCTCGTAATGTTTGGAGCCTGGGGTTAGCAAGTTTATGTGGGTGTTAGGGTTGTTTAGGATTTTTGCAGCTTTGAGTTTTGGAGTTTTAGGGCGATGCGGTTCAGGATTTCGGGGGTTTGTGGGGTTTAGGGCTTTAGCTGAGGGGTTCGGGTTTAGGGCCTCGGCTTGCCTTTTCAACCCCTAAGCCACCTAAACCCCAAAACCCTGAACCACGGGCATTCTTGGGGGCATGGGCTTGATTGGGGCTGTTGTACGTGCTGAGGAGTGTGGGGCTTCACACCTGGTTTGGGGTTCAGGCTTTAACTTTAGGGTGTAGGGATGTTTTCGGGTGTAGGGTTCAGGGATGTTTCGGATGTCGGGTTTAGGGATGTTTAGGGTGTAGGGTTTAGGGATGTTTCGTGTGTGGTGTTTTGGGAAGTTTAGGGTGTAGGGTTTAGGAGTGTTTTGGGTATAGGGTTTTGGGAAGTTTAGGCTGTAGGGTTTAGGGATGTTTCGGGTGGAGGGTTTAGGGATGTTTCGGGTGTAGGGTTTAGGGATGTTTAGGGTGTAGGGTTTAGGGATGTTTCGGGTGGAGGGTTTAGGGATGTTTCGGGTGTAGGGTTTAGGGATGTTTCGGGTGTCGGGTTTTGAGATGTTTGGGGTATAGGGTTTGGGGACGTTTCGGATGTCGGGTTTTGGGATGTTTAGGGTATAGGGTTTAAGGATATTTCGGGTGTAGGGTGTTGGGATGCTTAGGGTATAGGGTTTAAGGATATTTCGGGTGTAGGGTGTTGGGATGTTTAGGGTATAGGGTTTTGAGATGATTAGGGTGTAGGGTTTAGGGATGTTTCGAGGTGTAGGGTTCTGGGATGTTTAGGGTGTAGGGTTTAGGGTTGGCTTGGGTGTAGTTTTGGATTTTGTCTTTGGGATGACATTGTTGATGTGAGAGTTTTGCGGGGCGTTTTCAAGGTTAGGGTTCGTGTTAAAGGGCATCGTGCCCATGATCTAATGAGAAAGATGCAAGGATATCGGAAAACCGAAAACCCTAAACCCCATAGACCCTACATTTTGGGACTGGCCGGCCATGTTTGTTGATGTGAGCATAGCGAAGATAGGGGCAAGATTTGGCAGCACATTAGCCCAATGCGCCTCCATCCAGGACCAGGACTCTTTCAAACCCTAAACCCTAAACCCTAAACCCTAAACCCCTTAACCCCTGAACCCTAAACCCAAAGCCTTAAAAAGCCTTAGCTCTTTCAAACCCTAAACCCAAAGCCCTAAACGCTGAACCTT